GGTAACACCCCTTGCAATTCGACATCCCACTAGCAATCGAGGCAAGAGCATCATAGAGTCGAAAGAATGAATCATACATGACACGCCTTCTCTTTAGCTTCTCAGACGGTCTCTGAGCCGTCTGGTCTGGAAGCATTCTGCTGCTGGGATGATGTCTAGCCCGACTTGGCACGAAGATGTCGTAAGTTCTGCAATGACGCTGACGCGCTAAAGACTCGTGTCGCCTCTTTCGCCTTCTACACAGCGCGGTCTCAAACTAGAAAACTGCACAAAACTCTATATTTCCTATACCTTTGCATGTACAGTCTAATATACTGTACATCGCATAGCACTGCATAGCTTGCGGAAAGAACAGGTCCCGGCATACCACATTGGGCCTGGCGCCTTGGCGTCGATATCCGTACTTTGAGTAGAGTTTGGAGAGACGAAAGGACTCATGAAATTCATGATTCAGAGTTGCGGCTGAAAGCAATGCAGCATCACTAAGCTAATCTTTCGTTCCATCACACTTTGTCACATGCTCGGTTTTGCACTTGCTGCTCCAACCAAACTGCCAGAGAACTTGCTTGATGGTCTCAGCAATAGCCTGTCCACCAGCTTTGAAGTCGGTGTTTCTTTAAAGATCACGATTAGGCGCTTAATATGATCTTCCATACCTGGAGGCAGGGTACAGCGAGTATGCAAGGCACAACAATATTCCCCGTGTATGTTGATCGCATGAACTCCGCACTTTTTGATCGATTTGGCAGTGACTTTGGCTAGCTCAAGACGTTTACCATACGTGGCGCATCTTGTGTACAGTATGCTTGATGGAAAATGACAGCCACCTGGTAAAGGAATTCATTTAGCGCCCATAGCCGTTTTGAGGCTCTGTGGGTGACACGGGAACGCTAACCCCCATGTCGTTCGTAGGGGGGCAAGTCTTTTATTGGTCACGCGGATACTACTAAAGTCAACCTATGCTCTTTGAATACCTGCCGCGAATAGAAATTGCAAGGTCCAATTTACATCCCTTACATCTGCGCTGCGCACCAAAATGGTACAGTGAGGTACGGCCAAACTCCTCTGTAACAACCACATATTTATTGTACAATTTTGTCTGCTTTCTTCCTCCCTTTGAGCCTCCTGCTTCTCCGGCTAGCCCGTTCTCGCCTCGTCTTCAGCCGTACCAAAGCCTCCCCAACCCTCGAACTCGTCCGCAAACTTGACTGCTGCGTTAAGCCAATGGCTTGGTGCATTGTCTGAGGCACCCCATGTCTCTTCTGCCACCTTCAGAGCCCGCAGTGCTTGGTTTTGTCAGTCAAAATACAGCATGCATTGATGGTTGTCGTGACTTGCCTTTCACGTAGTGCGCATCTTTCGCATGGGGGCCATTCAGTGCCTTATCCACAACATGTTTCCAGTTCTTCTTACTATCTTCACCCGGAATGGCTTTATCCATATCAATCTCTGGCCGGGTCTGAGCAATGTAGACTGCAAGCGCAAACAGCCACCATTGTCGCAGTAGGCTCACATGGTACTTTGCCGGGATCAAAGGAAGTAAGATGCGAATGGCATGCGAGCTTGTGAGCACATGTACAATGAAAAAGTCATACTTTCCATGAGAAGGAGCTGGTGTGCCCACCAAAAGCCCCATGCCTACTTCTTGGGCGGCACTGAATTGTTCGGTTGGATTGGTGATGTCCCAAGCATTCCAGTATTCTAAGAGTGCTTCTTCTTGCTCCTCCAGTACCTTTGTGATGTCTCCACTCCTATCGTCATACAGGCCGTCGAAGCGACTATCTTGGCGGACCTTGTCTAGTAGACCGATCAGGCCAGAGTGAGCGCCAGTTGCGCTATGAGGGCTAGGCTTGGTGTATTTTGGGTCATCAATGTACTTGTGCAGGGGGCTGTAGCAGCAAGAGCCCATCGCCAGAGCCTCAATTGCCACCGTTTTGGAATTTAGTTCATATGCGTATCCAAGGTGGATAAGGGGATGTGCGACTATACGATTTTAGCAAAATACTGTTACTAATGGGCGTTGAACGTACGGCCAGAGATCATGCCATTGATCAATGGCTCCTTTCCCTGGAACAAAAACTCTTCAAGGACTTGCTCGACGCTGTACTTTTTGGTCACGAGCTGGTCCTCGAAGAAATCGATAAAGGCACGTTGGTACCTGGCCACAGAGTCAGCAGTTGACCCTCATTTCAGAGCAGCACAACGCTGACTAGCAACGTACTCTGGTTTTCCCAAAAAGTCGCGCCAATCATCTTTGGTGATTTCGCCCGGCGCATCCTGCCAGGGATCCAGTTCTTCGGCTTCTTTTTCGTAGATGTCGTTCAGATGCTCGGCAGTGCCTCCGAGAAGGTAAGCTGATCCTAGGATCTACGAAAGATGCTTAGCAGCTACAGGCTTTGTTGGGCGAGCAGCATACGTGCGGTGCATGGTTGTGGAATACGAGGTTGTGATATAAGATTCCGTAGTTGGCGTGGTTTGCCTTGAGCAGATGCTTGAGGGTCCGCGGCCGCTTCTCGGCGGCTGTTTCGATATCATGGATTTCGACTGAGGGCAGGTTGACAGTGAGATGCGAACCCTCTCCGCCGCGAAGGAAGGAGGGCAGCGATATTCTCGGTAGGCTGAACATTTTGCGCGGTGGTGTCGGAAGATGCAAGAGGAGGTTTGCGGGGAAGAAGGCAAGGATGGACCGGCGTCGTGCCTTCCTCGATACGGTATGACGTGATGCACTCAGTGCTGCTTGCAAGGTCTGCCGCCGCCCCGTGTTAGTGTCGGACCACCAGCGCCGCATCCGAGAGCCTTGTCCTGTCTCCAGCCCACGTCTAACCTTCAACGAGCTGCCTGTTCCATATTCCTGCGCCTTGGCCGCCCCGTCATGCCACACGCCTGCAAAGGGCGGTTTCGAATCCATTACTCCATCGGGCAGGTTCCTGCATGTGTCGATCGCTGCGACCTTTTTCAGTGAAGGCTAGACTCCTGCAAACTCTAGGCCCGCACTTATTTCTCACCTGTTGCTCCGTCCTCACTCACAAACTCGGTCTTCTGTTCCGTCGTGTCTTTTTGTACATGCTTGATTGGGCAGGAAAGGCAGAGTGTCGATTGCAGCAGCATTTCTGGGGGAAATACTAGGTTCATCCCAGACACCGATTTGCTAACACTTACCTGCCCTTCCTAGTTCACCAGACATCCACAGTCATCAAAGACCCAGATTCTACCTGTACAGGTGTTCTCGTTGTCCTTGCAAAGTCGAACTCGCCTTGACGCTCCCACTGCGTCCCGAACTCTATCTGGTAAGGGTAGAATGTTATATCGTAATATGGTCAGGTACCTCAGCATACTAGTCAGCCACTCATGGCCGCAGCTACCCGCCAATCGGCATTCGATCTCAAACTCTACCCCTTGTTCCCTCCTGCATGCCGCCCAATTGTCCCAACACGAGTATCCAACGCAAAGCAGCAAGCCCGCCTTTTGGATTGAATTGAATCAATTCACACGCGTCACATGCTTGCAGAGCTACCTCTGACTGTTGAAAGCATCATCGCATGTGCGAGGAGACGAAGGCCGTGCAATGGCCTACCAGCTGTCTGCATTTCTCAAGATATAACTGATTGGTGTGCGGCTCCGCTCTAAAACGTCAGGCCCCATGTACGTGTTACAGCAGTCCGTTCTTGATCGGGCATCCACCACAATTTCCTCGTTCGGCATTCTTTGTCAAAGCATCGAACTCGGATGACATAAGGACATCTGCCAGATTGTCTGTTCACTCAACGATTCACAATGACAGACCCATTTGCAAACGAGTAGGTCGAATCACCTAACCAGAGCATCTACTGGTGGGACATCCGAATTCTTGTCGAACACTTTTTACAAGCAAATTGTCTGATTTCATCCATCGGGCCTTGTGCAAGATTGACATTATTGTGGGCAGAAAGCGTCACTCTTCGCTGGCACAGTACCTGGTTCACGTCCGCTGCGCATGTTCCACCACCATCGCGCATAGGATGGTACCGTACTTGCTTTCGCATTTTGTTGTCCTTGCCATTGTTTTTGTGGAATGCTGAAAATGATGGTATTGAACTGATTTTCGATTGGCATCTACTGAATAATCCTCCTTGCGAATGTTCAAGGCCCCATATCAATTCGCTGCATCAGAGGTCAATTGGACGTCCAAAACTTATATTGGGTGCCGCTTCGTGGTGTTCTGCAGGCACACTGGCACCAGTTGTGCCTACGTATTTCAATCATCAAAAACCGGCAAACGGTTATCTTCGGGTTTTAGTATGATGCACCTGCACACAGTTTCATAAACTTTGTGCTCGCTCGTCTAGCTTTTTTTTAGAGTTACGCAGTATGTTACAGTACCACTGCGTCCCACTATGGACTCGAGAACCTAACGGCGAATGCGCGCGACTGCAGGGTTGGTTCGAATTTAAAGCCAGGTGTGCCACCACCCCAGCAGCACACCCGCAATACCAGCTAATGCTTTTGCTAATCGAGTCAAGCGCCTTCCCTGCCTCAGGCCATTGATATCAAGCAAAAATCTACTAGCCGATATACAGATTAGGCGAGAAGTCCTAGTACCAATTCGTTCGTTACCAACGCAAGACAAGACCATGGATCCCATGCGCCACGAGCCGTAACCCTGTGGTATGTGCGACCGCTGTCTTGCATTGCATTGCATGGCGGCAAAACGGCAGACACACGCGCTCCCCCTAGCTTGTTCTTAGCAGGTAGTCCAGAACAGGAAATTTAGTAGCGTAATGCGATTGGTGGGCTTAGGGGGGGTTATAAAGACTAGGGATCATGCAAGTATCTGAACTCAACAGCTCGGTTACGTGGTTGTATGCACGAGCTGATCTTCATGTATGCGCTTTATTATTTTTATCCCTCGTTTTTACCCGGGAACGTTTCTGCCATCTTTTCTCTTCCCCATCCTTTGTGCCACTACCTTGCGTTGCCATCTTTTGTTGGGAGTTAATCCTTTTCTGTGCGCTACAATCGCTATGTCACCTAAGAACGGTGACATCGAACTGGACGTTGTGTCAACTGGATCCACCGATAAGCAAGATGATCTTGCTTTGGCGAGACTGGGTAAAAAGGCTGTATTGAAGGTGTGTATGAAAAACTATGTTTCCTTAGAGAAAAGGTCCACCACTTAGCTAATTGACGTTACACAGCGCCGTTTTGGCTTCTTGTCTATCTTAGGGTTTAGCTGTACAGTTCTGATCACATGGGAAGCGTCATTAGTGTGTGTTTACTCTGTCTTATGCTCCTGTGAGCCACGTTGCTGACTCTTACCCTAGCTTGTTCCTCGTCGGTTTCCAAAAGTGAGTCGTGGCCTTTTTAATAACGATAAAAATACTTAGCAAATATAGTGGAGGTCCCGCTGGAGTCATCTATGGCTACATTGTTGTATGGGCCGGCACCGTGTCTGTTTTCATAGTGCTCAGTGAGTTGGTATCAATGTAAGTCTACTTTCCTCCCACACTTGAAATTAGCATAAGAAGAATTCATTGAAACTGAACAGGGCACCTACTTCTGGTGGCCAATACCACTGGGTATCTATGCTCGCCCCTCAAAATTCCAAGGTACTACTGAGCTATGTTTCCGGTACGTCCTACACTCACCATAGCAAATTGATAACCGTTTATTAATACATGATAACATAGGGTGGCTCAGTCTTTGCGGCTGGCTAGCATCTCTCGGCTCAGGCGCTTTCTTGACCGGTGGACTGATCCAAGGTCTTATCATGCTATGTCGACCCACGTCATATGTCCCTCAAAACTGGCACGTTACCCTCTTCTATTGGGCTATAATAGCCTTTTGCATCTTCATTAATGTGGGAGCCGGCTGGCTGTTGCCCAAGTTTGAAGGTTCACTGCTATTCTTACATATCCTTGGCTTCTTTGCCATTTTGATCCCTCTCCTGGTAATGGGCCCGCAGGGAGATGCCAAGGAAATTTTTACAACGTTTTTGAATATGGGAGGCTGGAAGAGTCAGGGATTGAGCTTTTGTGTGGGCATCATGGGGAGCGTGTTTGCTTTCGTCGGTGAGTTTTTCTTGATTGATTCATCTCTGGTCACCGATTCCCTCCTCGAAGAACACATTCTGACTGACGTGGATATCAGGTGGTGACGGTCCTATCCATGTAAGTCTCTCGAACCTCAGGTCCCAATTCCAAAGGAACAAACAGCACCAGCAACTCACCTGCTAACTCTTTCGCAGCTCTCCGAAGAAATCCAAAATGCGCAGGTCGTCGTCCCCCGCTCAATTATGATTGGTATTGCTATGAATGGCACCCTCGGTTTCGGCATGCTCCTCACTGTCCTCTTCCGTATGGGCGATCTTTCCTCCGTCCTCGCTGAAAACCCCGCGTTCCCATTCATGGCCATCTTCCACCGCGCAGTGCAATCGCGATCTGGCGCTGCCGTAATGGCTTCACTAGTCATGGTTCTAACCATCGGCGCAGGCGTTGGCCTCTCAGCTTCCACGTCTCGCATCTGTTGGGCTTTTGCCAGAGACAAAGGGCTACCAGGTTGGAGAACATTGAGCAAGGTAGACACCCTCGTTGTCGCTGTTCCCAGATCGCCGATAAGCTTACAAACTACAGGTCAGCTCCAGAACCCAAATCCCCGTCTCCGCCGTTCTCTTCACAAACATAACCGCCTGCCTCCTCGCCCTCATCAACATCGGCTCCACCACGGCCTTCAACGGCATCATCTCTGTCGCCATCGCCGGCCTCTTCTCCTCGTACCTCCTTACTTGTAGCTTGCTACTCTACCGCCGCTGTACAGGCGGGATCGTCTCGCAACCCGACCACTCTCATGTACCCAGCACTACAAACCCCACCGCCATACCTTCATCGTCGATCAGTCAAACCACAAGACCATATGCAGTATGGGGTCCCTGGCGTCTCCCCGCCGCTCTTGGCATCGCAAACAATGCGTTTGCATGTGCCTATTTGTGTTTTGTGCTCTTCTTCAGTTTTTGGCCTAGCTTCGCGCAAGTCACAGTGCAGAATATGAATTGGGCTGTGCTGGTCACGAGTGTGATTGCGGGAATGAGCATTGTGTATTATGTGGTTTGGGCGAGGAAAGTGTACCGTGGGCCGGTGGTGGAGGTAGATGTGGTAAGGGAGGGGAGTGCTGGTCTGAGGGGTGATGAGGGGGTGTAAGGTGGGGGGAGGGGGTGGCTGGATTACCAGTGAGATTTTGTGACATAGATGGGAGGTATAGGCGTGGTATTTTCTCAATAGATGAGATGTACATTTCACTACTCAGGGCAAGATTTACGACTTGGAATGGAAAGTCAATCATGATTCATGAACATCCTTTTTACAAAGAAAAGCATATCAAAGTCAAGGCGAAGCGGCTCAAATCGAACATGTATGATTTACTGAGTAAATTCATATCTACCAGGTATAATATTGTCATCATCATAATAGGCGTCATATAACAAGAAGGAATTGGCAAAGACCCGCCATTCTAAGCAAGCCAGAACCAAATCTTCTGCCAGATATTCTTCGGCACGGGGGCCCCTGAAATATCATCCTTGCATAGCTCATTCATTTCCCTGACACCAGTCGTGACATCGATGCTCTGCACAGGTATCGCAAAGCGAGTCCTGGTCGCAATTTTGTGGCCCAAGTAGAGGGCGAGGAAAATAGGGAGCGTAATGTAGGCGGCGAGGAAGTCGGAAACGTCCCATTCAGCGGGCACAAAGACCTGGAAGCCGTTGGTGAGGGTGAGCAGCGAAACGACAAAGAGGATGAAGTAAGTGAGGTATGGCTGGAAGGGCGTGCGGTAAGGCAGGGTGTGAAGAATGCCGTTGAAGACCATGGCTTTGCGGAAGCGGATGTAGGTGATCATGACGACGATCCAGGCGATGAAGCCGGAGATGGTGGAGATGTTGGAGAACCAGAGGAAGACCTGGGCGCCGGTGTTTGAGACGTTGAGGTAGGCGAGGAGACCGATTGCCCAGGTGGCGAGGACGGCAACGTATGGGACGCCTTTTTTGCTGGTTCGGCCAAAGATCTTGGGGGCCTCGCCATTGAGGGCCATGCCGTAGAGGACTCGCGAGCCGGAGAAGAGGAAGGCATTGCCGGCGGACCAGGCAGATGTCAGGACGGCGGCGTTGACGACGTGGTTCAATCCTGCGATGCCGGCTCTTTGGATGCCGATGACAAAGGGGGATGCGGAGGCGTTGGAGCTACCGCTCAGGAGACGTTCATCGTCTGAGGGGACAATGACGCCGATGATGAAAGATCCAAGACCATAGAAGATAGCCAAACGGTAAACGAAGCGGCCTGCAGCCTTGGGGATGTTGCGGCGAGGAGCAATGGTCTCTCCAGCAGCAAGGGCGATCAGCTCAGGCGAGGTGATGAAGGCGAAACCAGCGCGGACAAAGGCAGTCCAGTATGCAAGGAAATTTCCGGCATTTCCATCTACAATATATGGCTTGAAAGCACCGGGATTGTTCCAGTACCTAAAACCCAGGCGGCCCTGGTCATTTGGACTTCCACCAAGCATAATGACGAAACCCAGGATAACGAGGCCGATGATGGTTATGAATTTGATAGAGGCAAACCAGAACTCTGCTTCTCCAAAGAGCTCGACGGCAATGATGTTGAGGACGAGGACCACAATCAGGAAAATGGTGATCCACACAGCGTTGTGAACAGGAGTTTCCCAGTAGTCGAGGAGAATGGCTCCAGCCGTGGCCTCTGCGGCAACAAGAATAGCGTACGCATACCAGTAATTCCATCCCGCGGCGAAAGCTAAGCTGGGATCGACGAATCGCTTAACAAAGTACGGGATCGTGATTCCGCGCATTGGCAAATAGGTGACGATTTCGGCCAAGTTGTTCATGACGTTGTAAACGACGAGCATCATGCTCAGGTAGGCCATGAACAAAGGTGCGGGGCCGACGAGAGCGAGAATAGAACCAGATCCGATGAAGAGACCGGTTCCAATGGCACCACCAAGGGCACTGAATGCTCGTAAGCATCTAGCTTATTTTCGAGACGAACACGCGCATACTTACAGAAACTGAATATGCCTAGATTTCAACCCACGGTGTGTGTCTCCTCCCCGACCCGTCTCACCGCCAACAGTAGCAGCGCCATGTACAATGGGTTCCTCGAAGCCGACATTGTTCTCGTCGTAGCCATAGGGGGCCGCCGACTCAGGCTTTTCATCGGCCATGTAGTGGTTTGGCATGGTCGGAGTGGTTGTGGAGTTAAACAACAGACTTGTCGGTACCAAACTTGGCCAGTGTAAGTCGGGAGATGGTAGGCTATTATATACTACCAGATACGGCGTCGCGACAAGCACAAGGCGGGGTGGCGCACGCGACGAGCTGTTCAGGCAGAGATTTCCAACATGGTGAAATGGGCCGAGACGGGAGGAAGGGGTACTACTTTCCCAGGTCGGGGTTCCAAGAGGGCATCCATGGTGTGGGACGATCCTGTAGCGTTGGCGGCGCAGAGGCATGCATAGCTAGGCGACTCTGGGGAACCAATTGTCGTTAGGTAATGGCAAACTACCGATGAAAAGGCGGGGGAATGAGCTTGGCGTGCCGTGAAGGATGCCACACAGAGCCAGCTTGGCGTGATGACGCCCTGGTCGTGCGTCTCGCATTTTCTCGGCTCTGTGTTTTCTGGGCGCTGGGCACGGTTCAAGGCATGGTGGGCGAGGGCTCTTTCCAGGCCAGCCCGACGAGCGGAGTGAGGGCTGATGGCTCTGAGCCGAAGAAAAGCGCGTGCCGTGGGGTTGAGGCTCAGGTTCGCCATAGCCAGAGCCCTGACAAGCTTCTAGAATACGCGCTAGCTGGAGCTAGAAAGACTAGCGTCCGCTAGCGCCCCACCCATGGTTTGCCAGATGCTGCCCGGCAGTGTGCACACATGGAGACCATCCATGTGCTTCATGGAGAAGGGTGCGGATTCATGGCCTGGTCTGGGGATCGCGGGGATAGCTCGACCGCCCTTACTGGCCCCCGGTGCCATTGTGCGACGGCCAGTATTCGGCAGCACTCCTACAACAACGCCTTGAGCCGCCTGTCAGACTACGCGTCATCCGTCTTGTGCAACCATCACAGCTTGCAGGTTTTTTTTCTCTTTGCTCGCTTAAACGGATACCCACGAAGTCTGCATCCTTATCATTCCATGCCACAAGAAAAGATACCCTTATCTCTTGCTCTTCACGCCCCTGGGTTTTGCAAACGTAAAAAATATTCGTCCAAAAGCCTCTCTGGCGCAACCACTCGGCTCACATCATGTTCGTTGCGGGTCCTGGTGGAGACACCAGCCCTAGAGCGCTATGGACACATGGCGTGACCCACCGTCCTCCAGACATCAACCTATCCAGCTGTCTGAACTTTGACATAGGGCTGTTTTCTCCGCACGACTATTACAGTGCTAGGCAGGCCTCCCATGCTGTCCAATACGAGATTGTTTGCGGCCTGGAAATGACCACTGCACTGGGTTTCCCCAAACACGGACATGGGTCAGGTAGGTACCCCGGGCCCATAATACTGCCGCAATCCAGCGATCAGCACAGCACCTGATTACAGTAGTGGAGAGTCATCCAGCATTCTGTGTGGTGCACCTAATTGGAATCAAGAAATATAATCTATATCCTCGTTGAGCCAACGTCAACCCATGTTATCGCGTCGTCAGCCCTCCTCGGGATTCAGACCAATATACCGGCAGTTACCTCTACACTCACTCGTACTATACTAACACCGACATGTTGAGTGGCGACTATATAACAAAAAAGGGACAACTTGATACATTCCTGAAGGATCATCATTTGCAATTCCACCCGGGGCCAGCTTGGTCAACCTTTGTGCCAAAGGAGAAAGCTGCCACTTCGAGATGTCATGGGTTATTTCTTCCGACAACCCTTCCGAAGTCACCTTCCTCCACGCTCTTGTTCTCGTACCATCTTAGCCCCAATACGTAGCGAATTGCAAACAGCCTTTTCAGCCTCCAGGACGCATAAAAACACACACAAGGAGAAACAAATTGCAGGAGAAAATGAGAGACGTCGCGGTTCTCATCGTACATTCGTAACCCCAGATGTATGGAGGTTACGTGAGGCTCAACTTCGGCGCAAAAGAACCGCCACCCGTTCAACCCCTCACCCTGCCACCCGTCAGCGGCAGCAAGCGAAGACGCAAGCACACGACAACAAGACGTCATGCACGGGAATCCCTGATGCTCCCATCATACTCCCATCATACTCCCACCATGTTCTTGCCTGAACAACCCAAGATGCAATCAACCCTTGCGCCCGTAGCACACCCCAACCTACCATGATACCACAAGACGTGATCGAAAAAGTGCTATCCAAAGCCCAAGAAAGCGCATCACATAGCTGGGAACACAGCACAGTATTCGAAGCGCTCCTCGAATACCGCAACCCATCCTACAGCGTCTTCTCTCCCGACCCATTTCCAAACGGCGAAACGCCAAGACTGAAGATCGAAGACATTGACGCCCTACGCTATGTAAGACCGCTGATCCGGACCGATACCCCAGCGCTCAGCGAAGACAACGGTGCGTTTTGCCCCCCCACCCTCTTTGCATCCTCTGTAACCTCTCGTAAAAAAACCCCCATCCAAAGAAAAAGAGCCGATCACGAAAAGGAGAAAGGGGTGGGAGGATGAAATACGAACCGCAAATTATCAAACAAACAAGTCATTAAAACAAACCAAAAAAAATAAACAGGCTCATCAGCAGACCCAGCATCCCTGTGTCTGCCCGCCCTGCTCCTCGCTCACTCTCCATCCCTATCCCCTTCCACCCGAACCACCTATTCGACCGCACTACGCCGCCAACTCGACCATCTGCTCAACAAAACCCCGCGATTCCCAAACGGCGCGCTATCCCACCGCTCAGCCTATCCCTCACTATGGTCCGATTTCATCTACATGGGGCCGCCGATGCTCGCCTACACGGGCGCATGCACGCACGATGCATTTCTGCTCGGTGAAAGCGTGCGCCAGTGCCAACTGTACTGCGAGGTCCTCGGCACACCGTCGGGCGCCTGGCGCCACATTGCCAACGTTTCTCCCCTACCACAGCTTTCTCCGACGACGGAGAGAGTCAAGCAAGATGACGCCCCGTGGTCCACGAGTAATGCCTGGGCCGCCGCTGGCATGGCTCGTGTCCTGGCTACCCTGCTGAATTCCCCTTTTGCTCCCCACACGAAGCCCCAGCAGCGCGACCTGCGTGATATGATTATAGCTATTGTGCGTGCCGCGAGAGCGGCGGATACCCATCCACAGCGCCTGCTGCGCAATTATCTGGATGATGAGAGTGCGTTTGCTGACGTTGCGGGGACCGCGTTGATGGCTGCGGTGGTGTTTAGGGTTGCGGGCTTGGAAGGTGAGAGCGTGGTGCTTGGGGGTGAGTATATCGAGTGGGCGGTGGACAAGATGAGGGTCGTGGCGGAGCATGTTGATGTGCGGACGGGGGTTGCGGCGCCTGTTGTGAATTCGCTGAGGGAGAGTCAGCAGATGCCGGTGGGAGAGGTTAACCCTGAGGCACAGGCGTTTATTGTTTTGTTGTTTGCTGCATGGCGGGATTGGAGTCAAGCTGAATCATCCAGAGGAGGCCATTTCTCAGACAAAGTGTGAAGTTGAGACTTTGGTTTGTAGAAAGTATTGGGAGTGGTGTTGCATTGCAGACTCAGCATGAAAGGGATAACCACATACCAAAGGAGACCATGCCGTCAAGATTCAGTAACAATAGTAGCGTTGTATTTCGTGTACGCTGAGCCACAAAAAATGCGCTCGAGTCCTGAGACTTTCATCTTCCATTATCAAAGTATTAAACAGTTACTCGTCTACAATACCCCCCCGCTATGCAAAAAAGAAAGAAAGAAATTATTAAAAAAAAGATAGAAAAGAAGATTCGGTAGGTCGTCAACGTCCAAGCGCTTGACCTTTGTCTTCCATCCGTCATTACAACAACGATCTAACAACCAAAAAAACAAGTCGCGGGGGTGCACTTGTGTGTATCCAGAAAGTTCGTGAGTTGGGTCTGACCTCGAACAAAAAAACATGGATCATTAAAGAGAGCAACAAAAAAAAGAATGGACGTCTGGCCTTGATAAGGTGATGACGTCAAAGCATGTAGATGGCATGGTAATACATGACATGTCGTCGCTCCAATCGTTACTCGCTGGTGTCGTCAAAGCAGTCACGGGCAGGTCTAGTCGGTTCGGCCCTTGCCGTCGACAACGCCGTTGGACCTCTGGTTCTTCTCGTTGGGCTTCACGGGGATGGTAAAGCACTTGATACCAAGATAGTCGCATATGCTCGTGATGACCAGATGTGCCCATTTTCCGTAGACAATGAAGGCGAAAACAAAGTATGCCCGGAGGTACCAGAGCTCAAAGCTAGCGGAGACGGGACCAAATGTGGTTCCAGGAATGGTAAAGTAAGGGTGGTTGACAATCAGCGCTCCTCCAATCATGGGCGCCAGCATAACGGTCCAGTACGGGAACGGCTGGTGGGTGAGATGCGCCAGGATAATCTTGGTCGTCATTCGTCCAAAGACTAGCGACATGGTGAGGCAGTAGAGAACCAGGTGGTTATCCTCGAGGAGGCTTGAGTATGGCGATCCCAGCCAAGCCATGGTGCAGACAACGAAGATAATCAGGGGCGTCCATTCCTTGAGTAGTGGAAGCACGGGCTGGTTCCTGGCTCGGCGCGCACGCGCAATGTTGAGGATGCATTCAGGGAGGTGGGCAACGAAAAAGGTGAAGAGAAGAATTGGCACCCAGAGTTCCTTGATCGTGATGTCGCCAATCTCCGCCTTGTAGGACGGGAAGTAGTTGGCAAGCGGGGTTGACCAGATTTCCGGGCCGAAGTATCCGGACAGGCAGATAAAGGTGCATGCGAGAATCAGGCCCTCTGTACCGTGTGAGCGAATTGTTCAGGAGAGCGCATGTATCCAGACTCACCCGTAGGTCCGTTAAAGTATCCCAGATACAGGGTATGCGTGTGGTACGTCTCCCACGTCGAGAAGAACATGGGCAGAACAGGAATAAGGGCGGTAAAGGCACCAATCTTGGTCGAGCCGTATCCAACAGCCGCAGTCTCCAGGAGGCTTGCCAGTGTGCAGTTCAAAGAATCAATGCCGTGGCTATGTGTCACAGTCAGTGACGTGGTCTGGCGCGTTTGGCTACATTGTCACATACTCAAACAGCTCACCCAGCGGGCTCGACGAGCCTGTGCGACGCGCTTGCTTTCCGTCAACGTTGTCCATGGTAGAGTACCTGCAAGAGCATTAGCACAATGCTTGAGCGCGCGCAAACATGGTGTTTGCTTACATCCACATGCCAAAGGCGAAGCTGTAGTAGACCCATGAGGGCGCAGGCCCGACGAGATCGGGAATGTACACCTCGAGCAGCACAATGTTTCCTAGGATGAAGCAGAAGCCGAGTAGCGTGACGAGGTTCGGGGCGAGCCAGAGCGGCAGTAGTTCGACAAAGGCATTCCACTGCGCTAAAGTCAGACGGGTCTTGTGGGTTGCGGGGATGCATGGCGCAGCGTACGTAGTGCTTTAGGATGTAGCGGGAGATGAAGGACTTGTCGACGCTCGAGTATTTGTACGTCCGCAGGTGCTGCAGGGCGTCCTCAGAGACACACTCATGCTTCTTTGTCTCTGCAGACGTGTCGGTGGTTAGCAGAAAAATAAAATCGATGGGCTAAAAGCCAGGCGCGCGCCAGGGGGGCAGGTTGTACCTTTGCTCGGCGGCATGGTGGGCGTGGTGACAGGATGTGGCAGCGACATTTAGGTTAGCAGGGCGGGATTAATTTATACTGGTTTACAATTGACCATGCACTTCGGTGGGGGGGGAATCTGCACTTCAGGAGCCGCCTGTCTCTTGTGGGTTGGGGTGGGCGTTTGGCTTCAGCGGCGGTCAAACTTCTAAAAGGGACGGGTCCGTCGGCTCGGTAGGCGGAGGGCCAGGGATGTCAGGGCCAGGGGTCCAGAAATTGCACGTCATTGCTCAGTTCCCAATGCTTCTGGCACGTGAAAGGTCCGTCCTGTGGCTCTTGCGCCCCTTACTACCATCTACTACTACATACATAGTATATCCGCTACACGGTAGTACTACCACATACCCGCACATGTACCACCACCGCCTGTACTGCTAGTCTTTGCCCACCCTCTTTGCTCGTTTGCATCTCAATGGAAATCATCTTGTCATCTAACGGGTATGCCGATCATGTTCGGGCGCCAGGCAACGAAGCACCACTGTGAGCCCTGGATTCCATATTACAAGCTCCTCCTTCCAGGTAGCCATCATCGCATGGCACGACGCCGTGGGAAGCCTTCCTTTTATCCAGAGTCCAACAAAGGACATGGTTGTACAGTGGATTAGGACGTCCATCTCCTTTAGTCTTGGCAAAATTGGCTTCAGAGGCATATTTTCGGCTCCGAGCCAAAACGGTAGATGCATCGAGAAGGGTTGGTTGTTGGCCTGGTAGCCGTATAAATGATTGTTGCCAACCCAGAGATGAGTAATGTGAACACTGAGTCTGCGGATGACCATCCTGTACTCGGGCTGTCGGGCAAGCCATAGTGGGAGCATTATCGGATCTGCGATGCGATACATTACGAGAGACGCTATCATACCGTCGTCGTATCCCCCTAACACACGCCTACAGAAGCTCTTTCTACAGTTGAAGTCTATCATGTAGTGGTCGTGGATAAATCCGATTCCTGAGTCGTCTATCTGCACGATACAATCTTCGAAGACGGTCTGGTATATCATCGCGCGTAGCTCGGCGGGAAGGCTAGGTAGAGTCAGCTTTCGGGGTGAATCCTTAAAAGTAATGTCTCGAGCCTCCATGTCTTCACTCTTTCCAGCCTGCAGCATGCCGTTCGTGTGCATAGGAGAAACGCTCATCTTTGCAACCGTGTAGCTGCCAAGAGGATTCAAAGTCGTCTGTAAGTTCCTGGTGTTCAGGCCGAAGTGCAGAGGATACAACGGGTTTTATAGCACCTATGAGTGAGTCATAATTTGGAGTTGAGCAAACAAAGGAAAAGTATGTCAACCACGGGTGGAAAGGCTTGATTGCGAACTTCTCACTTCCTCATCCACAACACTCAGCCATGATAACAAACGGACACGACATGCCATGGTGCATGTTTTAAATGTACCCGAATAAAGAGGCCTGCTTCTACGAGGAATTGATTGCATAAAAAATGGTGATACAATATCAACAGCGGCCAGCTCCACTTGAGCAAAGTCTCGCTAGCAGAGCCACTCATTACGCCTAAGCTCACAATCCAAATCACACGCCAACCGCAAAACCAAGGCCGAAAGCCCTGAAGTGCAATAGAGCAAGAGCAACTGTCTGGACAAACACCACCTGGTCCATGAGTAGACACATGTAAGCCTTCATTTACGATGCTACGGCCGCCTTCCTTTGGTCCTCCTCTTTCCGCATGTCCTCCAAAAACTTCTCCCATGTTTCGATCGTTCCCTGGAAGAAATCCACGTGCGCGTCTGCTAGATCACCGAGCGTGTCCTTGAACTCGATGGCTTTGATGCGTTCAAAATCAGCCACTTCCTTGACAGTATGCTCATCGAATGCCTCGCTGGCCTTCTTTGAGAGCTCCACTTCGCCCGTCAGACGCTCAATTTCGACCTCGAGTTTGCGGACCCGTTGCCGACGTGCTTGGTCGTGGTCGATGCCTCGGAAATCCTCAACCTTGGATCGCAAGAAGCCAGATGCACCCATGCCCGCTCCAGTTGCGCTAGCCAGCGAATCGCGGTCCGCAGCAGACTTGGCCAGATATTCGCTCAACTGCTCAAAGTCAAGCTGCTTACCTTCCCTCGTTCGAAGAAGCGTCTTGACGGCCTGGATATACGCATCCATGTCTCGCAAACTAGTCAAGTAATTCTGGTCTGTGTGATCGCGAATGGACTTGAAGCCCTGTGAGGTGGTGTTGACGGAAGCGGCGAACGAGGTCAGGTTGCCCTCGACTGCGGGCTCCATGGTAGTCAGCTTCTGGCACTGCGTCGCTAGGTCGGCGTAGTCGGTCTCCAAGTCTCCTTGCCGCCGGGCAACCTTGACCGTAACCTTTTCGACATTGTTCAAGTCTTCGCTGAGCTTATTGGCTCGTTCGCTGACTTCAATGAAGCGCTGGTCCGGCTTGTGTATCTTGGTGAAGGTGTTGACGAATGTGTCTGCTATGGCATCGACGAAGCCGCCGCTGCCTTGGTCAGACCCGCTTGCTGCCCTCGATGGTCTTCCCTTCATATGCTGATTCCAATCCGGGCTCTCGAGGAAGTTGATGACAAGCACGGCTCTTCGCAGTACAGGATGTAGTGCTATCCGCTTCAGGAAGCGGTGCAGGGAGTGGGCTCTTCTCTGTGTAAAGTCCGGACCGAAGCGGTCTCCACGCACATACTCCATTTTGTGCTTGTCGGGCAGCGGAGGGACGGCGCATTGTGGATACTCTTTGGAGAGCTGTTTCCAGAGGAAGACAAAGTCTGTGAAGCGGCGGCGCACGGAGAATTCGGGCTTCTGAAAGGACTGGAAGTCGGACTATAGGCGGGGGTTAGGTGTTAGAGACAGGCTACGTGGAGACAGAACTGCAGGTACGGGCTAAGTTACTAACCTTTGTGGTCACCAGGTAGGAGACATATTGGTTCTGCGTGCCTGCCAACTCTTTCTGTGGGCTGCCGACAAACGTCTCTAGGCGGCCTTCGCTGAAGTCGCCCCCCATTGCGCGTCTGCGGGGTGCGTTTGGATGGCGGGTGAGTACCAGGCGACACTGTTTGAGCTCTTCAAGGTCGCTTAGGCAGTCGTAGTCTGGCTCGTCTAGTAAATCGTCGCACTGATCGTGAGGGCTTCCTGTCTGCTGTTGTCCTGGTAAGCTCGGAGCTGAGTCGGTGACGTCGGTTGGAGAGGCAGTGTTAGGGTGGCCTGGGCTCTCGCCCGCACCCTCGCCCTCCCAGATGAGCGACGGGCACCGGATCCGCTCGTACATTGCCTCAAAGTCATCAACACTTGACAGCAGCATATGGTCACAAGGTCTGTGTTCAAAGGCTCAATGAGCATATTTGGTGTGCGCGCATCAATCGTTCCTGCTCAGCTAAGTGCAAACAGGCCTGCAATCATCCCACAGTCGGTGAATATCTACAGTGAATCCGGAATGCGCAACTCGCCCAAGCAAACGCGCTCCCTTGTCGCGTGCATGGTCAGATACATTCATGCTTAATCCAGAAGGCCACCCTAAACCCTTGGTCTGTAAACCAGAAAAGTGTAACGGTATCATCGTGACATAATCAAACACTCGCAACTCAAGCCCGTTAGTGCGCACCCATTACTGCTCAGCACCGAAGCGCTTGCCAAACTCGTTGAAGAGCTTGGGGGATATCTCGTCGCTGCTGTTTCCATTCACGGTCCACAGCACGCCCAGCTTGTCGTAGTGCTCAAGCAGAGGCTCGCTGGTTTCCTTGAAGCTCTGGAGACGCGCCTTCCACACCTCTGGGTCGTCGTCTGCGCGTCGTGTGAGCGGCTCACCCGTGACATCGTCTTTGCCCGGCACCTTTGGCGCATTAAACGTGGTGTTGTAAACGCGCCCTGAGGGTTCGTGCACCCAGCGATTGCAGATGCGGTTGATGATGATGTCACTGGGCGTGTTGAGATGGACGACCATGTTGATGGGCACAATGTTGTCGAGTTGAATCGCCTGGACAGCAGTGCGGGGGAAGCCGTCGAGGATGAAGGATGCCGAGGGGTGGTTGGAGAAGGTGTAGCGCGGGGCCCGCACCTCGGACGGAATCATGACCGAGTCAACTGTAGTGTCGGCCATGTCCATGGAACTGAAGTTGAGGGCATATGGCCGCAGCGCATTGTCCCGTATCCATCCCCGCGTCGTCAGTTCATTCACAATCAGGCGCAGGATCATTGTGTCTGGCACCAGCTTTCCGGACTTCATGGTCGACTCGGCCTTGATGCCTGCGACAGGTCAGCATTGGGTTATTTTATTTTTCTTCCCTAGCGCGGGGAACGAGCGCGCATACCGAGAGGAGTCCGCTCCCTCACATTCTTCCTCAGCAGGTCGCCAGAACTGATTGCCGACAGTTGGGAGAATTTGTGCATCAAGCGCTCCGTCTGAGTGCCTTTGCCAACACCTGGTGCGCCTACCAGGATGATTCTGGCCGCCCTTGCTAAACTTGGTATGTGCATTATGTTGTATTGTGAGAAGATGGCCGTGGGTGGCTAGAGGGGGCTGCGATGGCTATGTACGCCGGGGGATTTGTCGGTGCGAGAAGTGAAGCGCGGCGGGCTTCGCGGCGGGTGTGCAAATATTAAAAATGGTCCATTGTAAGCGGAGGCCGGGGAAAGGGAATAGCGAGCTGGGGAAAAGGAAGAAGGAGAAGGAGAAGGACGACACGGCCAAAGTCCTTTTTCGCAGGACAAGACGCTGACCAACGTCGGGTAAAGGTGGAGGAGGGGACGACAAGGCCCAGGACTGAATCGCACTGTCGCTGTTGCGGCCATCGGCCACGGCCAAGCCTCGGCCATGGCCACAAAGCCTACTTTGCTGCTCAACGGGGGCGCATAATACCCGACGACGGTCCCCGGGGCGCCTGCACGGCCTGCGTCTAGATTCATACATATGTATACTTACGTGTGTCCGGCCTGTTCCTAGGCGCCATTAATCACCCGTCATGGATACGCAGGCCAGTGCCAGTGTGTGCCAGGCCCGCCGGTGGCGACCAAGCTTTGGATCGCCCTGGTGCGCCGGTCCCTGAAAACTCCCTAGGCCTAACTCCGAAAGACGGCAACGTCAGACCAGGCCCATTTTCTCAACTGCATAATCCAGTCCACTTTCCCCATCACACGTCAGTTTCCCACATCTCCTGTCCATCTTTTATATGCTGCTTCTCCCCCATCCGTACATACTTTAATCGCTGTACAATATCCACGTCGCTCCCTTTTTATTTTGCTGCCCATCCCGGCGCAATGTACGTTAGCAGAACAGCCTCCCGGGCAGCGCCCGCAGTCTTCAGAGCAGGCATCAGGACCACCACTCGCACACATCGCCCTATGCTGCGCTCCTCGCCTGCAATTCGTATCCTCATCCCGCTTCGAGCCCTACAGACCGAGTCGACGTCATCCAACGCTGCACAGAACTACCCACCCCCTGGCTTCGACCCCAAAAAAGCAAGCCAATCACTCTCCAGGCAGGACCAGGACAAGGCTCCCCAGCAAGCCAAACCCCAGCTCGAAAAAGACACCCTCATCCCCAAGTCTGGCCCAACCGCACACGCCAAGACACCTGCTCAAGATGTCCAGACAATCAGGGAGCTGGGCACAGACAAGGCAGCAGCCGAGACTAAGGAGGAGAAGAAGGTTATGACGAAGAAGGACGAGGACAAGAAGAAGCTCAGCGTCTGGCAAAAAGTCAAGAAGGAGCTGGTTCATTATTGGGACGGTACCAAACTGCTTGGTTTCGAGATCAAGATTAGTTCCAAGCTTGCCTTGAAGATGGCTGCTGGCTACGAGCTCACTAGACGAGAGCGTCGACAGGTATGTTTCCTTTTGCTGCTCAAGCCAGCCCAAATGCACAGCGCTAACTTGACCTAGCTGCAACGCACAGTCCAGGATCTCGCCCGTTTGGTTCCCTTCCTGCCTTTCGTCATCGTGCCGTTCGCGGAGTTGCTTCTTCCCGTAGCGCTCAAGCTCTTCCCCAACATGCTCCCCAGCACATACGAGGGCCAATCAGCCAAGGATACCAAGGCCCAAACCCTCCGAGCAACCCGCAAGGACGTTAGCGACTTTCTTCGCCAGACTCTAAAGGAAACCGGTTTGCCAGTCTCCCCCGAAAATGCCCAGACAGCCGAGTTTGGCGAGTTCTTCCGAAAGGTGCGCACAACTGGCGAGAAGCCAACGCCAGAGGAAATCATCAAGGTCTGCAAGATCTTCAAGGATGACTTGACTCTTGACAATTTGTCTCGTCCGCAGCTCGTCTCCATCTGCCGCTACATGAACATCACTTCCTTTGGCACCGACAACTTCCTGCGCTACCAAATCAGGGTTCGTATGCGCCAGATCAAGCGTGACGACAGGGCGATTGCCTACGAAGGCGTCGAGACTCTTTCGGTGCCCGAGCTTCAGACTGCATGTGCAAGCCGCGGTATCCGAACGTACGGCGTTTCTCCTGGCAGGCTACGGGATGACCTGACAAGCTGGCTTGATCTCCGTCTTAAGCACGGCGTCCCATCAACCCTCTTGGTGCTCTCCAATGCCTTTGTATACGCACAGGGCAAGGACGCAGAAATGACATCCCAGATTGATGCTCTGGAGGCTGTTCTTTCCAGCATCCCCGAGGAACTTTATCACGAGGTCGATCTCGAGGTCCGGAACGCTGAAGGCGCCGCCACCAACAAGCAGCGCCTCGAAGTCCTCAAGGAGCAGCAAGAACTCATCAACGAAGAGAATGAGCAGACGGAGACTGTGGAGAACAAGGCCGCTGCCTCGCCCAAGGACCACGACGATATTGACGAGGCTGAAAAGCCCGCAAGAGATGCTGACGAGGCAAAGGAGGCCAAGGCCGCTGAAGAAAGCAAAGAAGCTGAAGCTAGCACCGGCGAGAGCTTGGGCGGCAGTGCTGAGCGCGCCGAGCAAGATGACCGTGCAAGGAAAATGGATGAGCCTACCGGTAAGGCTGAGAAGCCTGCCGATGCTGTTTCTGCAAAGAAGGAGTAAATATGAGACTTGATTGATCTGTCTCTCTTTCTCTACTCTGTTTTCCAATGTCACACATAGCTACCCAAAAAGAAAAAAGAAACTTTGCAAATATCATGGACCTTCTCTCTCTCCCCCCTTTGTTCTTTGTTGTTCTGGAATAGGGGAGGGAAAGGGAGAAAGATAAGTTGCATATATAGAAGAATACCCCCCCCTTTGTTCCCAATAGAAAAGTGTAAAATTAGATGGAAAATTGTATAATGTCAGTCCCTACATGCCGGGACGCACGGTGTAACGGGATGTTACACGGGGTTTGGATCTATACTTCTCTTGCCGGGTCCTACACTAAGGCCAGTGAGCTTTACGC